ATTTATATCTATCTATGTATATATATATATATATATATATATATATACCTATATATAAATATATTTACATATTATAAATATAAATAAATATATGTATACATAAACATATAAATATATAAATAAATATATAAATGAATAAATAAATAAAAATATATGTATATATATATATGTAAATAAATAAATATGTAAATGGGTAAATAAATAAATAAATAAATAAGCAAATACTAGATAACAACAATAATAATATACAACAAGAAAAAGAAAAAAACTAAAAACAAAAAATTGGGGTGTATAGGGAGGTGTGCATGCATGCAGCTGCTGAAGGAGACGTCCTTTTTGGTTGTTTTAAGCCCAAAAGAACTAAAAAAAGCAAAAGAGACAGATACAGATAAACAAATACCAGTAAACACAGTAAACCATTGTCTCCTTTTTTTTTGTCTCCTTTTCTTTTTTGTCTCCTTTTCTTTTTTGTCTCTTCTTCTTTTGCTGTCTCCTTTGTTTTTGTCTCCTCTTCTTTTTTCTTCTTTCTTTTTGTCTCCTCTTCTTTTGCTGTCTCCTCTTCTTTTGCTGTCTCCTTTCTTCTTGTCTCCTCTTCCTTTTTCTTCTTTGTAGTTGTCTGCTTTCTTGCTGTCTCCTCTTGTTTTGCTGTCTCCTCTTCTTTTTTGTCTCCTTTCTTTTTGTCTCCTCTTCTTTTGCTGTCCGTTCTTCTTTTTTGTCTCCTCTTCTTTTTTTGTCTCTCTTTTTTTGCTGTCTCCTTTCTTCTTGTCTCCTTTTTTCTTTTTCTTTTTTTGTCTCCTCTTCTCTTGCTGTCTCCTCTTCTCTTGCTGTCTCCTTTCTTCCTTTTTATTTGTCTCCTTTTTATTTGTCTCCTTTTTATTTGTCTCCTTTTTCTTTCTGTTTCTTTGTCGTTTCTTCTGTCTCTTCTTCTTTTGTCTCCTTTATTTCTTTTATCTCTATTTATCTCTATTTATTTTATTTTATTTTATTTTATTTTATTTTATTTTATTTTATTTTATTTTATTTTATTTTTATTTTTGTTGCTGCAGATGAACAGAAGCCAACGCCGTTCTCTTCTCCTCTATCAGCAAATGGCAGAAAACGTAATCTTTATTTTTATTTATTTTTATTTATTTTTATTTTTTATTTATTTTTATTTTTTTTATTTATTTTTATAAATTTATAAAACAAATATTATCTATTTATTATAAATTAAAAAAAGTAAATATAATTATTATTAATTTATTATAAAATCTTTTTTTATTTATTTTTATTTATTTTTGTTTATTTTTATTTATTTTTATTTATTTTTATTTATTTTTATTTATTTTTATTTATTTTTATAAATTTATAAAATAAATAAAATTAAATTAATATAATACCGAAACCACAAAAAAAATATTTTAATTTTTTTTTTTTTCTGTTTTTATTTATCTCTCTCAATAAAAAAAACAAAAAAATAAAACTAATGAGTACATTCCCCTCTCCCTTTATATTTTAT